AAACACATCTAGTGGTGTAGGTCTCGTTACAAATGGCCTCTTCGACTTGGTATCCTTCCCTTGTTAGTCGATAAGTACCTGTCGCTGTGAGTATGGCTTCCAGTTGCTTCGAACACAACTCTAGTGTTTCCCGCATGGCATCCTGGAGTGCCTTCTTCGAAACTTTCTAGAGAAAAGGCTTCAGCTCCTCTGTTGGATGCATTGTTTAGTGCAGGCTCTGTCCCTAATATAGCCCAAATAGGATGGTCCAGCAGGTTGAAATCGAGAGATATGAGTCCGTTTGAGGATGTGAAATCGGGAACAGTATCATGAGACCAGTCCTAAACAATTTTGCCCCTTATGCAGAAGCTGGTTACCTTTGAAAGGAACGTCATTCCTTGGAGAAGCTAGATACCTTAGTAACAAATGGTGCACTGGAGCATTCGTTAGCTAGGTCTGTATCGAGTTTCATTCGCTTTTCAACAGACAGTTGTGGTGAGCGACCGGTGATTGAGACCCTTGCCCAAATCGTGATAAAGATTGGCTGCTGCTTGTGGCGAATATTCCTTTCACTCTCACTGGCTTCCACAGACCTCATGCGGGCATCCTCGGAGTTTGAAGATTGTAGCTCCGCTCCATGTGAGGAATTTTGTCGTCGATGAAAACGGTGCCCGCGTAATCGCCATTTTCGGCCCTCGACACCAGCTCTTTGAACTTTTTGTCTCTGCTGTGCTCCTCCCGTTGGATTGAGCAGTGGTGCTTATGCAACTTATAATGGACTGTGAGCAGTTGTTATCTGACCACTCTCTACATGGCTGTGTTTAGAAACTCCAGCGTTCTGGTCACCTTTCTCGAGCCAACCCGGGTATTGCAGTCGTTTCGCTTCTTCATGCTTTTCCTGAGATCCAAGATGTCAGAACTTGTGGGGCGGCCGCAACAAAGACTACTTTTATTGGTCTTCTCTTTAGTACACGGTAGGCCGCGGAGCGGTTGAAAATCCAAAGAAGCGCGATGTTCATCACCGGATGTCCGACCTAGCTGTATGAGGGATTAGGACCTCTGTTGAGGTTTAGGTGCACCAAAGAGAAGGTATGCCAACCTTGGGTAAAAGGACTACAGACACCCACGCAATAGAAGCTCAAAATGTGTTGCAGTATTTATGGAACACCCTGTACGAGATGGACGATGGCCTTTTCTCGGGGAATCTGAATTTCGCGTCAGAATTCTCGATTCTTGTTGGAGGTGTTGAAGAGAGTCACAGTTCTCAACTAAGTGCCTGCCGTTCCAGCGTTGATCTTTGTGGCAACGTTATAATGATTCTCAAGGCATCCGTTGAAGACACAAACTAACCTTTGACATTACCACTTTGCTAACTTAGGCCGACGTCTACTTTGCGATTTGCTCGATTCGCCAGCGATTCGATTAGCGATTCGCTAGCGATTCGCCAGCGATTCGCTAGCGATTCGCCAGCGAATCGCTAATCGAATCGCAAAGTATGACGTCGGCCTTATGGGTTAATTGGATTAGCTACAGTGTGTATTGCCAGGAGTCGTGAAGTCAATTGAAAGGAGACATGGGGCTGAACTTGCAAATAGGTATTTTAAGTAGCCCAAGTCCCAAATTATTCCGGAACTAAACTACCCTTATTACATTTTTGTGTTATCCTTTTTTGAAAAGCCTCTGCACAAACTTTGTTATTTCCGATTTCAGGAGCTGTTGCTGGAAATGTGATCATGGGTCTTGGTGGTAAGGATAATTCGCTGGGTAATATTGGTAAAATTATCCTCGACAACATTATCTCCGGAAAGTTCAGGCGAGATGTGAGCGAACTCAGCTGCCCTTTTTCTTGAGGATTTATATCCTTATTTATTCCGATATGCAGGTAGACCCGTTCGTTCGTCCGGAACCAAGACCAGATCGCACCGGTGGAATCACGCCAATACAGCCAATTCCTTCTCATGCACCGCTTGACTTCTATGAAGAACGTGACAAATGCCTGCAGGTGAGATTGTTTTGCACTTTTAATTTGGAATCCTTCTCTTGGAATTTTTTGTCTACTTCATTTCTTTAAAATTAATGTTCTGGCACAGAGAACTGTTTGATTTCCAGGAGAAACGCCTCTTTGAGGATCCACACTTCCCTGCTCAGGACAGTTCGTTGTTCTACAGCAAAAGTCCTCCGAAACGAATTGAATGGCTCAGGCCTGGTGTACGTTTTGTCGCTCAATTTTTTTGATTGAAAACTTTTCCAAACTCGCTTCTTGAAGGTGGGGAGGGGGAGGGGTGTAGAGTGCACACAAGAAGCGGCAATACAGAAAATGGCCCGGTGTAGAATTGTAAGTCTTAGAAAGTAACAGGGAACGATAGTGTGCGGCCACAGGCGTTAGATGAAGACTCCTCGCGGCATGAAAGACAGCAAAAAGTGATCAACTTCTGGCGATGGCGAAGCAAATCGGGAGTCATTTTGAAGTGGTAAAGTTAACGCCAGTAAGCTGTCGTTTCACATGCTTGATCTGTAGGGGCTACAGACAATGCTGATTGACAAGGAACATTATTAGTGCATTGACGACAGTGGGCCAACTATGTATGCCCCTTTCAGCCACAAAGGACGTCGTGGCAGATATGTATGCCGCAGCGATATGAATTATTTTTTTTCGATTATGCAAAGTTTTAAAACCACTGCTCACGTCCTGTTGTCGAGAAATGTGCTCTAAGAAATCATGCCATTGGTAGTGCTTGATAACTCCACACCAAAATTTTCAAACAATAGAGAGACATTCAGAGCTAGAGTTACGTAGGCCTTCCCTGGAGTTCTAGTTCGTTAGATTGGATTGAATGGTAGTAAAATTTTTCAATGACTTGAAAGGTCTTCGAGGGTTTACATATTCATTTTCTTCAGGAAATTGTCCGTGATCCACAGCTTATCACTGAAGGCCATTCGCGTTTCGATGTGATTCAAGTGAGTTTCATTTTGGTGCAAATTTTTATTAGTTATTTTTGGTACTTTTTCCCTCCGAAAATTTACTTTCCAGGGAGAACTCGGTGATTGTTGGCTGCTTGCTGCCGCTGCTAACCTCACCCTCAAGGATGAGCTGTTCTATCGTGTTGTACCGCCAGATCAGTCGTTCACTGAGAATTATGCAGGTTCGTACATTGGTGATTTCTTTTTCGACTGTATGGTTTTTTGGAACATTTTAATTTTTTCCATTTCTTCATTTCAATTTTATGGTTTGTCGAGAATTGAATCAAATCAAATTCAAATTCAAATGAATTCTCGCCGCAAGAAATACGAAATCCACACATGATTTTTTTGTAGCTTCCAAATGCTGTCCAAAGTGACGTTCAGGTATTTTCCATTTCCAATTCTGGCAATATGGTAAATGGGTGGATGTGGTGGTTGATGATCGTCTACCAACATCCAACGGCGAACTGTTGTACATGCACTCTAAGAGTAACAACGAGTTCTGGAGTGCTCTTCTGGAGAAGGCTTACGCCAAGTAAGTTGAAACTAGTGGCATTCGATTTCAAACCAACTCAACTACTTCTGGCCAGCTACTTCTGCAATGAAGGTTAAATGCAAGTGTTGCGGAAAAATGCATCTAATGTCTCATTTATGGTTAGAATTTGATGTTGATAACGGTTGGCCGATGAGACAATGACTCAGGATACCTCTCACCCCCGCGGGACCCTTGGCGGTTCAGCGTTTTGTAGTGATCTCTGGGAGCTCTCACAAGTGCACACTATCACAGCATCTCCTCTTTCTTTATCTTCTTCAAAAGGCTTAGTCCCAATAAGACACAAAGTGTGTGCTTTTCCAGCTACGCTCTCACCCTTTGGTTGACAGAAGCCTTGTAACCTATAGAAATGCTTCAAATTAGGTGGTTTTTGTTCTTGATTCTGCCGAATCGCTAGCTTATACCCAGCTGCTCGTCTAAACTGGTTTTACTAACCCTTTTTCGCTTCTAAGGAACTGAACCGTTGCTGAATTAAAGTGAGAGGTTGAGGCATTGTTGTGCCCATCAACGAAATAAGGATAGAACATTATAAAGAAAATTGGGGAGCTCACATTTTTCCTTCGAACTCTATTCAGAGTAAAAACCTTTGTTGAAAAGTTTTGGCGCCACACTCTTGTTAGGGGGGGGGCAAAGCCAAGGTCTTTGAAACGACGATGAGGTGCCCACTGGGATGACCCAGAGAAGTTCCGACTCCCTTCCCCTGCTCAAAGGGATAGTCTCAAGTAGTAGGTTGACTCGCTTGATTGTCCCCCTGCGACATGAGCTCCGAGTTAGCATAAAAGGATAAAGCATTTGCCGTTGATCAATCCCTTTTGGGATGCGGCACGCATTCTACTTTTCATTTGTATTAGGTTGGAAAGAAAGTTCTGCAACACTCTTTCTAAAATTTTCTTTTTTTCTGAAAAATTCATAGGTAACATTTATGACTACCAAATGATAGAGCATTCAAGGCTTCAATCCACGAGGTGGATATAAGTTGCTGCAGTCAGTAGTTATCCAAGAAAATTCAAAAAATCTCGACCACTAGCAAATCCGTACTCCGAGTCACTGTCTAGTACAAATGTCTACAATAACTATGGATTCGTGTCAACGACCAACACTATCTGCAATAGCTTCAATAGGCATGCCGTTCACCGCGATACAGCGTGTTTCACCTTTACCAGCGCTTTCCGAATCTTTCG